TTTGGGGGGTTTTGGGTCACTCTGGGGCGGTGCAGTGCGTGGGGAGAGCCCTGCGGGGAAAAACCGACTACGGGCTCATGGTGTTCGCTGACAAGGTCGGTTTGGGGTGAATTTGGGGGATTTTGGGTCACTTTGGGTCACTTTGGGAGGTTTTGGGTCATTTTGGGGGGTTTTGGGTCACTCTGGGGCGGCGCAGTGCGTGGGGAGAGCCCTGCGGGGAAAAACCGACTACGGGCTCATGGTGTTCGCTGACAAGGTCGGTTTGGGGTGAATTTGGGGGGTTTTGGGTCACTTTGGGTTGGTTTGGGTCAGTTTGGGGGGTTTTGGGTCAGTTTGGGGGGTTTTGGGTCACTTTGGGTTGGTTTGGGTCAGTTTGGGGGGTTTTGGGTCGTTTTGGGGGGTTTTGGGTCACTTTGGGGGATTTTGGGTCACTTTGGGTCACTTTGGGTCGATTCGGGGGTTTTGTGGTCAGTTTGGGGCAGTGCAGTTTTTCCCCGTTTTTTCCCCATTTTCCCACTGTTTTCCCCCATTTTTTTCCATTTCTTCCCATATTTTCCTATTTCCCCCCATTTTCCCCTCTTTTTCCCCATTTCCCTCCATTTTTTCCCATTTCCCTCCATTTTTTCCCCATTTTTTCCCTTTTTTCCTGTTCTGTCCCATTTTCCTCCCATTTCCCCATATTGTTCCCCATTTCCCCCATCTCCCCCCAATTTTCCCCACATTTTTCCTATTTTACCCCATTTCTGCCCCATTTTTCCCCATTTTCCCTGTTTTTTCCCATTTTCCCCCATTTATTCTCATTTCCACCCATTTTCCCCCATTTTTCCCCATTTTTTCACCGTTTTTTCCCATTTTTCCCCGTTTTTCCCCATTTTTTCACTGTTTTTCCTTATTTTTTCACCATTTTCTCCATTTTTTTCTCAATTTTTCCCATTTCTGGCTGGTTTTGCCCCATTTCCGCAGCGTTTTGCCCGTCTGGACAAGCGCTCCAAGCTGCCGCGCTGGCTGCAGGAGCCATTTCCCATTCCCATTTTCCCCCCATTTTTTCCCCATTTTTTCACCGTTTTTCCCCATTTTTTCACCGTTTTACCCCATTTTTTCACCGTTTTTCCCCGTTTTTTCTCCATTTTTCCCATTTCTGGCTGTTTTTACCCCATTTTGGCAGCGTTTTGCCCGTCTGGACAAGCGCTCCAAGCTGCCGCGCTGGCTGCAGGAGCGGCTGCCCGAGGCGCACCTGAACCTGACCGTGGACGAGGCCGTGCAGGCGGCCAAGCGCTTCCTGCGCCAGATGGCCCAGCCCTTCCGCCAGGTAGGGATCCACTGGATCCCGGCGGATCCCAATGGATCCCGACCAGATCCCAACCCGATCCAACCTGATCCTGACCGATCCTGACCAATCCTATGGGATCCCGTCACAGACAGAACCCCCCAAAACCCCCCCACCCCTTCCGCCAGGTAGGGATCCACTGGATCCCGGCGGATCCCAACGGATCCTGACCCGATCCCGACCCGATCCTGACCGATTCTATGGGATCCTGTCACAGACACAACTCCCTGAGCCCCCCCCCAGCCCTTCCGCCAGGTAGGGATCAGCTGGATCCCGGCGGATCCCAATGGATCCCGACCCGATCCCGACCGATCCTATGGGATCCCGTCACAGACACAACCCCCCAACGCCCCCCAGCCCTTCTGCCAGGTAGGGATCCACTGGATCCCGGCGGATCCCAATGGATCCTGACCCGATCCCAACCCGATCCAACCTGATCCTGACCGATCCTGACCGATCCTATGGGATCCCATCACAGACACAACCCCCCAAAACCCCCCCACCCCTTCCGCCAGGTAGGGATCCACTGGATCCCGGCGGATCCCAACGGATCCCGACCCGATCCTGACCCGATCCCGACCCGATCCTATGGGATCCCGTCACAGACACAACCCCCCAATCCCCCCAGCCCTTCCGCCAAGTAGGGATCTACTGGATCCCGGCGGATCCCAATGGATCCCGACCCGATCCCGGTCGATCCTGACCGATCCCGACCCGATCCTGACCGATCCTGACCGATCCTATGGGATCCCGTCACAGACACAAACCCCCGAGCCCCCCCAGCCCTTCTGCCAGGTAGGGATCCACTGGATCCCAGCGGATCCCAATGGATCCTGACCAATCCTGACCGATCCTATGGGATCCCATCACAGACACAACCCCCCAAACCCCCCCCAGCCCTTCCGCCAAGTAGGGATCCACTGGGTCCCAGCGGATCCCAATGGATCCCGACACGATCCTGGCCCGATCCTGACCCGATCCAACCTGATCCCGACCTGATCCTGGCCTATCCTATGGGATCCCATCACAGACACAACCCCCCAAAACCCCCCCCAGCCCTTCCGCCAGGTAAGGATCCGCTGGATCCTAAAGGATCCCGGCTCGATCCCAACCCAATCCAACCAGATCCAACCCGATCCTATGGGATCCCATCACAGACACAACCCCCCGAGCCCCCAGAAACCCCCCAACCCCCCCAGACCCTCCAGGGTA